AAAGTTTGGGGTCACAGGCCGGAGGCACGAGATGGGGGCATCCATTCATAGAGCACACAAGACAATTAGATTACTCTCTCGATCAGAGGTAGGACTCATGGAGTAATAAACACCCATCCCACTGGAACCCCGCTCGTTGCCACTACAACAGACAAGCGCTTTTTGATCTGACCCTGGATTTCTTTAGTTGGTCAGGCTTGGGGTTTGAGGGATCGTGATATGGATCAGGGTTTTGCCGGCCCACTTGAAATAGCTGCATTACATCAATCAAATCATTCACACCAACAGCCTCGAGCTCAATTTGCTACCCGCACAACCTGACGCTGAACATTGAATGGGTTATAACAGTTTCCGAACCCAACCTAGGGACTAAATTGTTTTGCTTGGACCATTGGACTTGACTTCTACTCGTCCGGGGTGCTGCAGTGCATTCGGTGGCGATAGCAGATCATTGCTTCACTACTGATTGCACAATAATCTTTTTAATTAAAGATGGAAGCCCAACCTTCAGTCCTGAACCCTAAAGCCAGCAGCCAGCCAGCTTCGCTACAACCCAATCGCTCGTGTGGCCAGGACTCTGTCCGTGAAGAGCATGGCATCCATCGCTGGAGAGGCAGAGGAGGAAGCAGAGCCGGACGCCAGGAGGTTCCTGCTTGGGACGGCGAAGCGGAGTTTGGACGAGGCTTTCGGAATCTCGGTGCCATGTAGATTCTAGACTAGAGGGTGTTCTCGGACATTAGTCGCGGGTTTTGTTGCTGGCTGTTGGGAAGCATGGGGATCTGACTTGTCCTGCTAGCGCTGAAGCACACACCTGCACACGCATACCCACATACGCACGCCCACATATACACACAATAGGTTTGTTTATTGCATTTATGCAGACACAAAAACAAAACGGGATGTAGCATGGTTAGCATAAAAGCTGTGACACCCATGAATTATCTAGTTTACACCATATGGATACCATACCGTATCATACCACTGTCATATCATACTGTTCGGGGTGGGTGGTTTTGGCTGGGTGGTTCTGGGAGAGAGCGAGCGAGAGAGAGAGAGAGAGAGAGAGAGAGAGAGAGAGAGAGAGAGAGAGAGAGAGAGAGAGAGAGAGAGAGAGAGAGCAGAGAGAGAGAGAGAGAGAGGAGAGAGAGAGAGAGAGAGAGAGAGAGAGAGAGAGAGAGAGAGAGAGGGAGAGAGAGAAAGAGGGAGAGAGAGAGAGAGAAACAAAGAGAGAGAATAAATGAGAGAGGAGAGACGCGACGAGAGACGGGAGAGCGAGAGAGAGAGGAGGAGAGAGAGAGAGAGAGAGAGAGAGAGAGAGAGAGAGAGAGAGAGAGAGAGAGAGAAAGAGAGAGAGAGAGAGAGGCAGAGAGGCAGAGAGAAAGCGAGAGAAGAAAGAGAGAGAGATAGAGAGAGAGAGAGAGAGAGAGAGAGACACGAGACATAGAGAGAAAGAGACCAAAAGAGAGAGAGAGAGAGAGAGAGAGAGATAGAGAGAGAGAGAGAGTGAGAGAGCAAGAGAGAGAGAGAGAGAGAGAGAGAGAGAGAGAGAGACAGAGACAGATACACAGACACGGAGAGAGAGAGGGAGAATGTCAGTCAGTGAGTGGGTCAGTGAGTGTGTGAGCTCGTGTCAGCGAGAGTAGTTGGCAAGGGTCAGAGCAAGTGTCTGAGTGTGATCGAGTGTTTCAGGCGGCGAGGTAGGTTGTGTGTGTGTGTATATATATAAAGTAAGGAACAGGTCCGTCCTGGGATTTGCACTATCTATCTAGGCGAACAAATACATAGCCAATCATATATACATATATATATATATAGTTGATTAGGCAGTCAGTTAAGAAACCATACTACATGTGTGTGTATATAAATATATACAGCTGTTGATGCATGCATGGATGTACATTAATAAATAAATATTGAATACATGAATCTGTATATATATATATATATATATGATACAGCCTGCACCTGTATACTAAAACACAGTATATACCAATATATCTACACACACCCACCCACCCACACCCACCAACCCACGCTTTACCCACCACCCATTATCCACCCACCGCCTGCCTAACTTACCCAACCCCGCCCCACCCCGAAACCCCCCCACCGACCCACCCATCCACCGGCCCGCCCGCCCGCACACGCAGCCAATCACTTCGCTTGGGTTTTGCACGGCAGTGTGCTTGCACATCTCTGCTGCACCGCCAAGGAGCGACGGACAAGCCGGCCGAGAAGGACAAGAAGAAAAAAAAGAACGACAAGAAGAAGGACAAAAGCAAGAAGAAGAGAAAAGGCAAGAAGTCGAGCAACTGGCTGCAGTAGTGTCCTATCCCTGATAGGTTTCGGAGACCCCGTGTTATTAGGCTATGGCTTCTATCCGATACAGCTCCGAGGCAGCTCCAGCGACTCCTCGTCTGACGAGGAGAGCGAGTCGGAGCCAGACCAGGAGGACTTCACAGATGCCGCCGCGACCTTCGGTTTGGGCAAGCGGGACATGGCGAGGGCTATGGATGCGACGACCCTGATCGACCTTGATGCTCGGCCCACAGCCCTGGTTTTGGCCAACGTCACCCCGTTGGTCATTGCCAACGACATTTTCGAGATGGGCGGTGAGTTGGCAGCTAGTCTTAACTTAAATAAAATGAAAGCTTCAGACGTGTGAAGTTCATGCTTTCGGGCTTCCTTCTGTTGCCCCTACCAACCATCTTGAGGAGACCCTGCTTCGAGAATTCCGTGTTGG